CACGCCTGATATTTAAAACTTTATTGTTGTTGTTTTTGAATGCTTTGTAATTCCGACCAGACATGGAGTCAGAGGTGAAAGAGAAAGGAAAAGACAAAAGGTGGGGAGAAGGGGGGGGAGGGGGGGTCCACAAAAATAAACAATAATTAACAAGAGTCTGCTTCTAGACCTGCAGAAAGAGAAAGAATACAAGGAGAAAAAAATGGGACACACAACAATATATCAGGAGCAAGCTATCACCACATCAACCTGATGGTGAAATATAAAATCAACAATGTTTAACTGAACAATCACACAATAATAAATCATAGTGCATGTAGTGGCAACAACAGCCTTAAGACATTTGTTGAATGTGCCCAAGCCCATACTTTTGAGAGCACCATGTGAGCACCTGTGTGTGTACACAAGCTTGTTTATGTAAGGTTTCTCTATAAGAGCGTCCAATAGAGAGTGTGAGGGACCACAGATCCGCCCCCGAAGATGCGTAGGAGACGGGGGGAGCTCCAAGTCCCAGAGATCCAGGCGCTGCCCCAGAACACAGGAACTCCAAGGAGACCGGAGACTGCAACCAGACCCCCCCCCCCCACCGAGAGACACAGAGGGCCGCCCCGGGGTGCCACAACCAGCAGCCGGCAGAGCCCCTGGAGATCTCAGCGACAAGCCCACAGGCCCGCCCGCAGCCTCCCACCCCCTAGCCGGCCGAGCCAGGACCCAGCGACCCGGGACCCAGGGGCGACCACCCCCGCCGGGGACACAGCAGAGCACAATGGGTACAACCATCACCGGTTACCAGAGTTTGACTCTTTCTGCTGGGGTGCTGATGGTGGTCCCCATCTTTAAAGAGGGGTGACCTGAGGGTGTGTTCCAACTATTGGGGGATCACACTCCTCAGCCTCCCTGGAAAGGTCTACTCCAAGGTACTGGAGAGAAGGGTCTGATCGATAGTTGAATCTCAGATTGAGGAGGAGCAATGTGGTTTTTGTCCTGGCCGTGGAACTGTGGACCAGCTCTATACCCTTGCAAGGGTGATGGAGGGGGCATGGGAGTTTGCCAAACCAATCCACATGTGTTTTGTGGATTTGGAGAAGGCTTATGACTGTGTCCCCAGGGGCACCCTGTGGGGGACGCTCCAGGAGTATGGGGTGGGTGGCTTTCTGTTAAGGGCCATTCAGTCCCTTTACCAGAGGAGCGTGAGTTTGGTCCGCATAGCTGGTAGTAAGTCTGACCTGTTCCCGGTGAGAGTTGGACTCCACCAGGGCTGCCCTTTGTCACCGGTTCTGTTCATAACCTTTATGGACAGAATTTCTAGACGCAGCCGTGGTGTGGAGTGTGTCGAGTTTGGTGGCAGGAGAATCTCGTCTCTGCTTTTTGCGGATGATGTGGTCCTCCTAGCTTCATCCAGCTCTGACCTTCAGCTCTTGCTGAGTAGGTTTGTGGCCGAGTGTGAAGCGGCTGGGAGGAGGATCAGCACCTCCAAAGCTGAGACCATGGTTCTCGACCAGAAAAGGGTGGCTTGCCAACTCCGGGTCAGGAGAGAGGTCCGACCTTAAGTGGAGGAGTTTAAGTATCTCGGGGTCTTGCTCACGAGTGAGGGTAGGAGGAATCGGGAGAGCGACAGGCGGATTGGTTCAGCGTCTGCAGTGATGCGGACGCTGAGCCAATCTGTTGTGGTGAAGAGGGAGCTGAGCCAGAATGCTGGGCTCTCAATTTACCGGTCGATCAATGTCCCAATCCTCACCTATGGTCATGAGCTTTGGGTAATGACCGAAAGAACGAGATCGCGGATACAAGCGGCCGAAATGAGTTTCCTCCGTAGGGTGGCTGGGCTCAACCTTAGAGATAGGGTGAGGAGCTTGGACATTCGGGAGTGACTCGGAGTAGAACCGCTGCTCCTCCGGATCGAAAGGAGTCAGTTGAGGTGGTTTGTGCATCTGGTCAGGATGCCTCCTGGACGCCTCGCTGGGGAGGTGTTTTGGGCATGTCCTGCCGGCAGGAGGCCCCCGGGTCGACCCAGGACACGTTGGAGATGTTACATCTCCAATCTGGTCCGGGAAAGCCTTGGACTCCTGCCGGAGGAGCTGGTGGAGGTGGCCGGGGAGAGGACGGTCTGGAGCTCCCTAGTTGGGATGCTGCCCCCGCGACCCGGACCCGGACCTGGATAAGCGGAGGAAGACGACGATGACGATACATCAACAAAAGTTTCATTTTTTTCTCACAGTGCCTCCACATTTAAATTTCCTGACACCTAAGGAAGGCACCACCGATGACCCCACTGTAATGCATGCATTAATCACCAGCTTTTATAATGTAAGGTATTAATGAATGTTGAGAAAAGCAAAAGTAGAACTCAATATAAGGAATGTTATGGTGCAATGGCAATTGTAAGTGTATAAACATAGTTAAAATTACTTTTTGCATCACTGCATTAAGTTTGTTGTAATCAATCTCTATTCATCCAATTTTGGCCGCTTATCCGGAGGTCAGCTCACAGGGGCAGCAGCCTAAGGGAAGCCCAGACTTCCTTCTCCACAGCCAGTTGGGCCAGCTCCTCTGGGGAAATCCCAAGGCATTCCCTGGCCAGCTGAGAGACATAATCCCTCCAACGTGTCCTGGGTCTTCCTTTAGGTCTCCTCCCTGTTGAATGTGCCCAGAAAACCTCACCAGGGAGGCGTCCAGGAGGCATCCTGACCAGATGCCCAAGCCACATCAACCGGTTCCTCTCGATATGGAGGAGCATCGGATCTACTCCGAGCCCCTCCCAGATGTTTGAGCTTCTCAGCCAATCTCGAAGGAAGAGCCCAACCACCTTGCGGAGAAAACTCATTTCGACTGCTTGTATCTGCAATCTCGTTCTTGTGACCATAGGTGAGGGTGGGAACGTAGATTGACTGGTAAATTGAGAGCTTTTCCTTCTGGATCAGCTCTTTCTTCACCATGACATACTGGTACAACACACACATCACTGTGCATGCAGCACCAATCCACCTTTCGATCTCCCGACCCATCTTTCCCTCACTCGAGAACAAGACTCCGAGATACTTAAAGTCCTCCACTTGAGGCAGGACTTTGTCCTTGACCTGGAGAAGCTATTCCACCCTTTTCCCATTCAAGACCATGGTCTCGGATTTAGAGGAGAGGATTTTCATCCCAACTGCTTCACACTCGGCTGCGAATACTTCAAACTTCGAGTCAAACTGTTAAGGAAATTTAATTATTTTAAAACCTGATGATGTACATATTTGTGTTGATAGATCATCTCTAAACAAACTTCTCCCCATTAATAAAGTATTCAACCATTTGTCCAATGAAATAAAGAAAATCATAAATGAAACAAGGAATTATGTGTATTAAAATAATTGGTCCACAGCTTACTTCAGAAAACAGTTTTATGTTGTGTTTAATCCTTGTTTTGTGGATAAATTACAATATTCTGATGTGTAAGCAGCAATTACACTGAGAAAAGTGTTTAGGTTATAGGTACAGTTTTGAGGAAAGAAAAAAAAATTCCAAGAGTTCAAATAAGATTTAGACAAAAACATTCATTTAAAAAAAGACTTAAAACGTCAAACATGGAGTTTTTCAAGAATAAAAATCTCTGGGACACTTAGCAATTTTTTCATATTTTTAAATCATTTGCTTGAGCCAGCATGTGCTAAAACGACCCTTTACAGCACAGGTGTCAAACTCCGGTCCTCGAGGGCCGCTATCCTACATGATTTAGTATTTTCCTTGTTTCAGTACACAGGATTTCAATCAGCAGGCTTCTGGAGAGCTTGATGAGCTGCTGCACAGGTGAATCAACAAAAAGATGCAGGATACCAGCCCGCGAGGACTGGAGTTTGAAACCACTGCTACAGGGTTAATGAAATGTCACTCGTAGCCCCATCGCCCTTTGTGGCCAGAATATCACACTTGCAACTTCAGAGTGCTGGCCTGGTCTGTTCAAGCTGAAATACCTGGCACTGTATCTGCTGCCAGCACATTTCCTGCATGTTTTAGATCATTAACACAGCTGATTTGTTTGATTTATTGCTGAATTGCTCCTGTAGAAACTAATGAAGGCTGGGGAGACATTTCAGATTAAGGTGTTAAATAAACACACAGCGAGGAGATACATTTTGCTTTTGGTTCTACTAAACAGACTAAGGGGTGCTAAGCCAAAATATGTCTCCCTTTAAACTCAAACTATTTTATAAGCTTCCAATATTTTGCAGTTTGTATGTTTGATACTCTCATTGTGAAGGTTGATACCAACATTTTGACTTTATTTTGAAAATAATATTAAAACGTTTTTCTTCACATTTAGACTTTCTTCTCACCACTTCCTCTTTTCTTTTTCCCACTAGTGTTCCTATCCAAAGCAATACCTTCAAGCATTAAAAACTCTTTAGTGCAACCAGGTTTAGTGGAACCAGTTGACATAACTTAGTTGAAGAACAAGTCACCCCCTACCAGATTCTTACTCCACTGCCACTTCCTGTTTGAAAAATGCAACAAATGCTGTTGCCTAGCAGACCGAGAGGGTGGAGCCGCTAACAAATACACACACACACACACACACACACACACACACACACACACACACACACACACACACACACACACACACACACACACACACACACACACACACACACGACACCATTGTGACATCATAAGGTACAAGCTAATGTTCTAGGGTATCTCTTAGCCAATAGCAATGCCAGATTTAAATTGAAATGCAGTGCAGAGTTTTTACCTGACAACGGCACAACACTGACAGTTTTAGGCAGAAAATTAATATTTGAACAAAAATGCAGTAAAGTACTAAACTATTGACTGCATGTATCTGCAGCACGATTAGACATGCATTTATATAGTTTATCAGAAAAATTTGGGGGTGACTTGCTCTTGAAGTTAATTCAACAGTGTACCTTTGTATCTGTGCCTCTGCTCTTTTTGACCAAAGGTTTCATCCAAATGATGAGATCATATAAGAGGAACTTAATCATACAAGTCCGTAAAGTATGTTTATTTATTTTTTGAAATAGTTTTTATTTTTATGTTACAGAGTTAGCTTTTAGAAATCTATTACAGACAACAGGATGAACAGTTTGTCAGTGAAAAAAAAAAAACAACGAGATGAGGTAAAAGGGCTACAGCATGACACATCATGAACACTGATGGTATCCTTGGAAATATAATTTTACTCACTAATATTTACACGGGATGAAATAAATAATTATAAAAAAACATCAAATTTTAGAAATTCATAAAATTTGAGAACTACTCTGTACAAAACTTTGGATTTAAAAACAAAAGAACCACATTGTCCACACAAGCAGTCATTCACATATAAAGTGTTCAGTAAATCGATGCTAGATACAAGATCCTGCACTGACTGGTGGTAGGTGTTTATCAATCTGTTCAGTCCTGCTATCACAGGTGGGCGACGAGACCTATAAAAGCCTGAGACACACAGTAGCATTACATTGGCTGTAAACATTTATTCATCCACAACTTTACACGTCCCTCCACAGTGAGTGAAAAAGTAACCATCACATCACACCAGTCTGCCTCAGCATTCAGAAAACTTTATGAAAAGAAAATAATAAATATTATTCAGTATTTCTTCTAGAATTAAGAAAAAAAAAACATGAATGCATTTTGTCGCCAGACCGACGTCTTGAGGAGCAAAACAGAAAACCAGAGATGAAAGGTTCCAGATCATGCTATTTCAAACCTTTAAAAGCAAAAATAGGCACAATATATGATGAAATATTACCGTTGGCACTATTGAGATGTCATTTATCATAAATACCAGTTATTTTTGTCAGTCAGAATACATACCCGGAAAGGAAGCTGTTTCAGTGAAGCGCTGCAGCAGTAACTTATTTAACCAGCAGAAGCAGGTTTTATTTATATATTTTGTAGTTTTACTGACTAATTTCTGCAAAATATTTGGTGTCTCTAAAGATCATTTCCAAGCAGCATTGTAGTTGATTGCTCACCTCACATGGACTCACCTTAAATAAACAAAGAAAGTAAAGAAACAGATTATTCATCCATCCATTTTTGTACACTTATCCGGTATTGGGTTGAAGGGGAGGTGCCGCAGGGACGCAGACTTCCCTCTCCCCAGCCACTTGAGCAAGCTCTTCCGGGGGAATCTCAAGGCCAGCCGAGACACAGTCCCTCAAGTGTGTCCTGCATCTCCCTTTAGGACTCCTCTCGGTTGAACATGCCCAGAAAACCTCACCAGAGAGGTGTCCAGGAGGCATCATGACTAGATGCCAGAGTCACCTCAACTGGCTCCTTTCAGATTTGTACTTATATTTTAAACAGTTTACCAATAAAGGGTTGAAAACATCATACTGGCAAGTTTAGCTAAAAAAGAAGAAAAAAAGTTACTGCCATGACTGGGAGTCAAACCTGGGTAAAACATGCTGTTCTAGCACTTAAACCACTGGACTAACAAGTCTAGTGTGAAACAAAAGTCGCCTAACATATATATCCTGAGCTGGCCATTATATAGACAGGACACATGGTTTATACAGCGGCGTTTAGTCCCCAATGCAGAAGTAATTTGTCAGAATGTCAACAGAATATCCAGGTTTCAGAATCAAGACCAGAGCAGCTTCAGAGGGAGGAGAAATGCCTGGAGATGCAAGTGGGCTACTTCCTTCCATGTGCAGGAAAAATATTTACATTGACCAAATTGCAGCTGAGACAGGAAAATGCATGAATGTAGCCAAAAAAATAAAAAAATAAATAAAAATGAAGGATTTGGGGGTATTTCTCATGAGGAAATAACAATATCACATGGTAAAACGCTCCAAAAAGTGGATATTTCAAGATATGGAACCTTTAAGAAAGTAAAAAAAAAAAGCCCAAAACTAAAAAAAGTCATTAAATTCATTTGCCAAAACACATTGGCAAAGCTCAAAACATGCACTGTTTCAGAAATTGTGTTTTGTAATCAAAAACGTTTTTTTTTCCATGAAAAGAAATTCAATTTTTGACAAGCTTTGTATTTTTGTTTCAATGTAATTTTGTGCTTTTGCTTTTTAATGACTTCTTATGTTTAAACATCTTTGATTTTGTAAAAAAAAAAAAAAAAAAAAAAAAAAGTACATCAACGTACTTTTGTCAATATATTTGTGTCAATGTGTTGTTGTGTTTTGTTCCTCTAGGTGTCTGTATTGGCTCAATATGTAGCACAACCTCCCACCCCCCTCCTCAAAAAATAAAAAATAAAAGATTTTAAATAAAAAATAAAAACATATGCAAACTTAAAGAAATAAGGAAAACAAAACACACATCAAACTGTTCTATTCAATTGGATCAAATGGGAATTATTGTTTACACAAATTTGATAAACTTCACATTTTTTTAAACAAAACTACATTTAACAGAAATCTTTCACAGAAAGAATTATTACATGCGAAGAATACAGACTTAAACAGAAACAGACAAGATAAACTCAATATAGAGACCTAAACAGACACGTACAGTTTTAGCAGCACTTAAATAAGGGAAATATTAATAGCTTCAGTGATGCTGCTAGTTGTTTAGTTTGGAGAAACAGGAAGCCACAGCTCAGAATCAGTCAAATTTGGTTATTATCGTTTTATAATATAATGCAAATGGAACGGCTTTATACAGAGCTTTATGGGACCCACGATTTATGTAGATTGTTGCTAGTCTTGCCCTGTTGTACCCTCCTGTCAGCTCACATGTTGAAATAATGTAATTTATTTTTCTAAAATAATCTGTTTTCCCCTCACAATAATACTGTCAAAAATAATGAGAACATGCTTCATATTTGTCATAGGAACACAGTGAATGTGCAGACTCGGCCACAGTAGAGCTATGTCTCTTACCCTTTTTTTGTCTTTGGTCATAAATCTCGATGATGTTCAGCGTATCGTTAATCATTATTACATTTACAAAAAGCTTAAGGCATTTAACGGCACTTGGGAAAATGTGTGTATTCTTGTTTTTCTGGTGCTCAGCTGACGTGGCTCTCAGACAAAGTTAGTCGTTTAAAGAAGATGTTAACTTGTTAGCTTAAGTGTGTGAGAACATGTAAACACGTTACAGCAAATAACTACATTCACTCAGGTGCAAGTGCATTCTTACCCAAAAATCAGTAACACTATAAAACGCAATCACACAACGTCCAGGCTAGTTCTCAGATAAGGCAGACACATGCTAGTAACAAGGAGGCACATGCATGCTGTTGAGTGTCTGACCATGCTTAGAAATCTTTTGTGGCAAAGTTGACAATTAAGGAAAAATGTTCATTTTCAGTCCAAATGTCTTTGTTTTTGTTCGTTCCATAGACTCGTATGCATCAGCAATGCTCAGACAACAAAACCAATGTTTGACACCCAGATGGTGTTGGTTTTCTGGCCAACGATTCTCTGTTTCATCATTGAACATCGAAGTGTTAGATGATTCAGGCGGAGACTGGCTCCTTTGTCACAGAACTCAAGGCTCAAGCTGTGTGTGTTTGACCGACACGTCTAATGTTACTCGTCTCTTAGGTATAAAACCTGTATTTCTTTATTCTGACTCCTGGAATCTTCAGTGTCTACTTGCAGGTATGCACGTCGTAGATCCTCACACACTCCTGACAGCTGACGTAGCAGCACCAGTGGAAAATACAGTGGCACTTCTCCTTTCTCTTCTCAGTCCGGGTGTTGTGGCCTCGGCCGCAGCACAGCAGGTCACATCCGTCTATTCCGTGGGATGTCAGGTTGCAGATGCGATCCCGGGTGCCAAAGGAGCCCGTCTCTGGGTTGGGGTCACAGAAGTTGGGTGACATTTCATAATAAACCAGGTCACGCTCTGTAGGGGGCTTGAAGTAGTTGTATTTAGGTCTCAGCGTCTCCACCCAGCCGCGGGACTCCTTGTGTTTCTCCACCACCATCTCTGAAGCACTGTCGTACTTATCCTTCATGTAGTCACCAATGATTCGGAAGTCAGGCTGAGACCACCAGCAAGTCTTTACCTCGCAGCTGCCTGACAGGCCGTGGCACTTACACTTCAGAAACATGTTTTCATTGAGGGACTGTTGGTTCATAAAAGAAGAGCATTACTAAATCATCTGAGAAACCCCCCCCACAATAAACCAGAAGAATTTCAAGAAAACAAACCATTCTTCCCGCCTCGTTGTTATGGCGATTCATTGCAGAACGTGCATCAGGACGATTCTCCCTAGCATCCGCAAACTCCCGGGACACCATACTTCCAAAATCCACATCCTCACTGCAGCCACCCCACTTCCAGCCCTCACCGGGGGGACCTTTGTGTCTAGTGTCACATCCGCAGATGGTAGCTGAACCATCGGCGCAAGCACGGGTCACGGCAAAGGCGACTCCTGCCGAGGCGATGGCATGAACAAAAGCTGACTCTCGAGTAGCTGGAAAAGGAATCACAAATTATTGAGATGGATAATAATGCACTTTTCATGCATGCATAAAGATTGTAGCTCAGGTACGTAGCTTTAGATCAGTATTAAAGAGGCATTTTCTTTGGTTAAATAAAAAAACATTAATAGTAACATTAATGTTTTATCGCTAAAAATAACACAAGCCTGAGGGAGTTTTTGTGTATTGTGGAGTTGCTAATGCTAATGGTTAGCTTCTACTAAGACACGCTCTGCTCTCTCCTGGATGCTTAATTAAAAATAGTCCTCTGTGGTTGCGAGTCAAGATGGGTGAGTCCTTGATTGTTAATGTTAAGCCTAGTTTATGCTTCTGGGTCGGCTCCACAAGGGAGAGATGCAAACGCATCGACAGAGACATTTTGCTCTTGAACTTCTTCGTTTCCCAGTAAGTGTTGCAAAGCACTTCCCCGCCAGGACAACTGAGGGCGTAGCGCTCTGTTCTGGGGTATCCTGTCATGTATCCGTACATTACTATTGTGTTTTTTGCATTTCAGAGACTTTTTACCATTCTATAAATATTTTTATGTGAGGTATTCTTCAAGCTGCTCTGTGTCTGCTGCTAAATATCTTCGTCTCTCTTTATGTTTTTGAGGGTGCAATGGCGGTGCTATTGACAAAAGCAATGTCCTGACCAATCACAAGCTTGTGTTCTCCGTCTCGTTTGACGGATGTTTAGAAAAGTGAGTTTGACTCCGTCTGTCCTAGCGGGCCTGCTGAAGAGCCCTTGCAAGGACAGATGGTGGTGTTGCGTGTCTCCGCGCCGACGCAGATGCATAGATTTGGGTTTACAGTGTGACATAGATCTGAGTAGCTTTCTCTGGAACTCTGGAAGTCTGTCAATGAAACTCCTCTTTAAAGTACTATCATTATGATAATGATGAATGACCTATACTTGTATAGGGGATCATTCATCCATCCACTCTGTTGCAGACTGTGAAAACTTTGTCTTTCTTTGTGGACAAAGTCAATAAGGTTAGATCCAACACCTCTCCCTCAGCCTTATCTCTACTTCTCCCGACTCCAACACTGCCCATCATCCTAGATAGCTTTGCTCCTGTTTCTTTGCCTGAGTTAACCAAACTAGTTAACTCTATGAAGACCTCTGCATGCCCCCTTGACATCTTACCCTCATCTTTGTTTAAAAAACGTTTTTCAGTCAATCGGTCCCAGCGTGCTCTCTATAATGCTTCTCTTGTTTCTGGTCAGGTCCCTGCTCACTTTAAGAATGCTGTAATCCACCTGCAACTTAAAAAACAAGTCTTGACCCTTCTCTCCATAGAAGCTTCAGAGCCATCTCTAAATTTCCATTCTGTGGCCGTCTGCAAGTTTCAGAGCCCCATGGGATGTCTAAGCTGCAGCTGTTACTCTCCTGCTTATACTCTAACTCTCTCAGGCTCAAGTTTTGATAAAAGGACGAACAACTAAGTCCTTCAGGAGTACTTCTGAGTTAAAAAATGCTCATGAAATACGTATGTGGAGTAACCAGGTAGGTAGGTTTTAACTGTTGCAAATCTGCAATGCCTGCCTCCAGAAGGTTAAAACCTGGATGGCTGGGAGCTTTCTTCAGCTGAATGAAGATAAGACTGAGATCCTCATCTGTGCCCCAGACAAGCTGGTTCCCAAAGTCAGAGACTCTCTTGGTCAGCTTTCTTCTTACACCAAACCCTGTGTCAGGAATCTTGGTGTGACCTTTGACCCAGCTCTCACTGGATTCTCATGTCAGTTCTCTTGTTCACTCTTCCTTCTTCCATCTCAGGAACATTGCTAAGTTGAGTCCCATTCTGTCCCGCTCTGAACTTGAGACAGTTATCCACTCCTTCATCTCCTCACGCTTAGACTACTGCAACTCTCTTTTCACGTGTCTGAGCAGAACCTCCCTGAACCGTCTACAGGTGGTTCAGAATGCCTGTGCTCGGCTTCTGACCAAATCATCAAAGTACACTCACATCACCCCGCTTCTCCTCCAGCTTCACTGGCTGCCAGTCAACTTCAGGGTTCATTTCAAGAACCTGGTTCTGGTCTTTAGGGCCTTACATGGACAAGCACCATCTTACATTGGTGATCTTCTCAGTCTCTACACCCCCAGCAGGTCCTTTAGGTCCAGTGACCAAAACCTACTAGTTGTGCAGCGCACCAGGCTAAAGACCAAAGGTGACAGGTAATTTTCTGTTGTTGCCCACAGACTCTGGAACTATCTCCCCCTGAGCCTGAGATCAGAGGACTTGGTGGTCTCCTTTAAAAAGCAGCGGAACACTCACCTGTCTCACCTGCTGGCTTTGGTGTGACCTTCGTCACCACCCTATCTTTTTTCAGCTCTCATTCCGCCTTTCCCAGGATCCACTGACTTCCCTCTTTCCGATTCATTTTCTCTCTCCCTTTCCTTACATTTTTAACCACATCTTTTTCTCATTTTAACCATATCTTTCAATCGTTTTTGTTCTTAAATGTTTTGTTCTTTTGAAGCACCTTGTGATTTTTACCTTGAGAGGCGCCATATAAAAGATTGTTTTCATTCTTTATTTTCTTTCACACTCACATTCACACGCTGATGATGATGAGCTACAATGTACCCACAGCCACCCGTGGGTGCACTGACGGAGGTGAGGCTGCAGAGCACAGGCACCATTGGTCCCTCCGACCACCACCAGCAGGCAAGGTGAGTTAAGTGCCTTGCTCAAGAAAACAACAGCAGAATTCTCTGCCGGGAGCCAGAATCGATCCTACAACCTTCTGGCAACTGTACAACCCGCTCTACCTCCTTGAGCTACTGCTGCCCCCATTATTGATTCAATGTTTGGAAAATAATTTTTAGTAAATCTTCAATAAACTGTGCACCAATCTCCATGGAAACTAAAGTCTTATAAATACAATAATTTATGTTTTTATCCAGTAGATTGCATGTTTAATGCTTTTCAAAAATGCCAAAAACAGACGGTCAAAAAAACTTTATTAACCAGCCACCAGCTGCCCTAAAAATTGTCATCAGCCATTAAAACACTCCAATCAGTCAGCTTCTAATCACCTTTTAGATAAAAATAAATGCAATACAGTTGTTTCTATTACCAGCATTAAGAAAGGTCAGCACACTTGACTGAGTTTGGCATATTACTGTTTAGTCCATGAATTTATCTCTCTCCTATTGATACAAATATGTACTATGCATAGGTTAATTTGGCCCAAGCATCAATTGTGCAGTGTCTTAATAAAGCCTGCATGTCTCTTTTTGACATAGCTACCTGATGAGTCAGAGGGATCAGGATCTTCCACAGAGATAAGAGAAAGAAGTAGACCTGACAGGCCTATAATTAAGAGACTCGATTAAGCTTTGAAAGGTTAGGAAACAGCCTCACACTTAGATGGACATTACAAAACTTAGAGATGCATGTTTAGTGACCAGAAGAGACACGTGTGTTCTCAGGTGCTATTACATGATTTATCACATGCACTTGTGTGGTCTTGCACAAAAACGGCAAATAAAAACTAGACAATGAGCATTAGGTGTATTTTTCTTTAAGAAAGCAACTGAGCACAGAAATGTTGAGATTAATAAAGGTAAGAAGATTTTGTTTGTGTGTGCTCACGTGTAGGAGTGTGTGAGAGAAACAGTGACTAAAGGAACGAAAAAAGGTGTATAAAGCTGAAGGCAGCAGGAGCTCCTCCCTTTCAGCAGGTTCCAACCAGTTTAAGGACTAAAGGGCATTAAAAACATTGATGCAAGAGAAAGAGGTCTAATGACTTCTTCCACCACCCTGTTCATGCCCCTGCTCCATGCAAACAAGCTTGCTGTCAGTAGAGATAAACTTCTGTTCTCTTTCGCTGAAAACAACAATTTGCATGAAATACTTAATTTCTTGGCAAATTGTAGCAGTTTTATTTTGCTAACATGAAAAAATGGGCTGTTTTCGAGTCGTGAGGTACAAATAAAGTGAATTAAGGTAATAAAAGTAGATTTTTGATAACCTCTTACTGCAGAATGTAGGAGTTTCTCTAAAAACTGACTGCAAATGAAGAGAAAAGAACAAAATATCCCAGAGTAATTCATGCATTTTAATATTTAAAAATGTTTATGAAAGTCATGAAAACAAATACGAAGAAAGCGTTGCAATTTCTCTAAAAATACGCAAATTACGAAGAGACCTGATCAAACAGATGACATAATCATTGCATTTACAGCACTAGGACAGTTGCTGATAGATAATGTTGATTCTGTATCTGAAGCCAAGAGCAGATTCTTTTACACAAGAGTTCAACTCTTATTGACAGTGCAGAGAACTTCACTATTTGCTCCAGCTGCCAGCTTTAGGTTCATGAACTCACGTTTCTTTCTTTAACTTGAACAATAATATGTAAAACAATTGTCTATTATGGTACATGAGTCAGTCTGACGCCAGATGTTTAGTGAAGCTGAGACACGTTTTAAAACGAAATGTTTGGGGCTATAAAGTTATTAGAAAGTTTTCATAAAAATCTCGTTAATCTTTTTATTTTATTGGAGTCGACTTAAGCTTTTTGTCATTTTGGGTCTTAAAACACCTGAGAGGGTTCATTTCACCTGGAATTCGCCCCTTTTACATCCGCTCCACAGCTATTCTTGGTTTTACGACCAATTTAGAGACACTTTTCCTTGAACAATGCTTTTCCACCGAACTTTGCCAGATCCCTGGCAGGCCAAGTGGTCCCTACAACCTGCTGGGGGGTTGAATCCCCTATTGTGTCATCGCAGTCACGCTGCGTTAGTCCCACAATGGACCCAGATATTTTATATGAAATTTGCCCTGGCTAGTGATTAGTGGGGACCAAGTTAAGTCATAGCAACAGAGAACTATGCATTGGCTGGACCCCGCTTGTCGGCAGACAGGGAAATCCCTATTCACATGCTTTAATAAAACAATCTAAAGGGCGTGTGAATGGGGAAAAGCACTTTTTCTCCTGCTTAATCTCATGGTTGAGAAGATATTGTGCTCTGAGCAGCACCCAGCAGGGAGTTGGGCTAAGGTCCCCCCATCAACTCCATTTACCACACCCCTTCTTTCTTTCTTGCCCAGAGTTAATGATATACTGATGTGCTAGTTTCCCTCCCCCAGCATGATGAGACATACGTCCCATGAAAGGCTGAGACCTTTTAGCTCATCCTAAATAGTTACACTTTCTCATACTGCGGTCATAGGTCATAACCCACATCCCCTGATGTCTTCTTGGTAGGGTGAGGTGGGAATTTGTCAGTTTAAGTCATTTCTTGCATGAAAAGCTGCTGTCTACAGGAAAAATGATTTCCTAGCTGGAATTGCACACAATGTCTAGCTTCCTTCGGATCAATGCGTTTTACGGGAGCAAGCATGCAGCAGGTACAGTGTTCTGCAAAAACAAAGAGAGTGGAAACAGCTCCAGGATCGGCTGTGAGGCCCAAGAACACCTGTGCAGCTTTCTATTACCTTTCATCACAGCCAGATTCCAGCGGTGCATGTTTTGACACTTTAGTTAATGTAAATTAATGAGTGCTGACGCAGACGTAGCCTGCAGGCAGGGATCGTGATTTAGGGCGTGGCGAGCGATACAAACTTTGAGGTTTAGACTACATCTGCAGGGGGATAGCCTTAAAAAGACAGGAGCTGCTTTGCTCTTTAGGAGTGTGTGTGTGTGTGTGTGTGTGTGTGTGTGTGTGTGTGTGTGTGTGTGTGTGTGTGTGTGTGTGTGTGTGTGTGTGTGTGTGTGCGTGCGCTCGCTAGAGCAATTCTATGTTAAAACTGGACAAAAGCTTGCTGCCAATTACAGTTATTCTCTGTTTAATATGTTTATCATTCCTTTCTAGCTCTCATATCAGCTAATTTCACATAACTAACTTCTGAAGAATTCAATTATCTTAACCTTCTAGAAACAGAGCTCGTATTTTTTTACATTACATTTTTTGAAGATGAGGGGAACTCTGGCACTGATGTGCAAGCCCTAAGGGCTTCTGATGCAGATAAAGGGTCTCACTCTTCCTGAAAGCTCTGGTCACAAAAACAGCAAGAGGAAACTGAAACACAACCGTCTGAATTGCAGACAAACAGACAGGAGTGCGGACAATGGCTCCACTGCACAAACACCAGCATCAATCAAACGCAATGAAATGGAAGCCCTCTTCTAATAAGCTCTATCAAAGGCCTGCGAGTCCCTGAGCCACTCTGACAAAGACACTTAATCCCGCCACTTTGACCTCTCACATTATTAAGGGCCTGAGTGACCTTAATCCAATCAAAATGATTTACCAAAGCCCAGTAGCTGCCTCCTTTTTCCAGTCAATACCCCTGCAATTTAGGTTCAGGAGGGAGGGGAGGCAATTCTGCACCACAATGGAGCTGGGACTGAGAACCCCTATCGTTAGCCACCTACTTCAGTTCAAGTCTCTTCTATCGACTGGCTCAAGAGTTTATTAAAAGCAATTGCCCTAAGTGACCTCTAAGCCTCAGCATCTGCATCAATCTTCAGTGAACAAGGTCACAAGTTCCGATCTTCGTTTTTTAACCATGAAGTTTGTTCAGGAAATTAGACAGAATAATAAATAAGACGTTTGTTGGCAAAAAAATAAAAGGACCTTTGATGCATTTGCTGCATTTATGAATGAAGTTGAATTTTAAAACGTTGCTGATTTGAAAAAGAGAATTAATGGATTTAATGAGCACAAGAAGGTTCTCAGTGGTCTAGTGGTAGAGCGTTCGCCCCGGGACTGGCAGATCGGGGTTCAAATCTGGTTGGGTCATGGCAAAGACTTTAAAACTGGTCCCCAATTCCTCCCTGCTTGACACCCAGCTTTAAGGGGTTAAAGCACCAAATGGTTCCTGAGCACAGCCACTGCTGCAGCTCACCGCTCCCCACAGGGATGGGCCAAATGTGAAGATGTAATTTCACCAGTGTGTGATGACTAATGGGATTTTAGCTTATGTACTCATCTGTGACTGTTGGTGAAGAGTTGGAGACACTGATCTGTGAGGAAAATATGCAAATTTTCCACAGGAATCACACCGAACTGGTGTTGATGGCACATTTGGGATACATTTTATTTAAAGGCAGGGTCATGCGGAGCATGTGACAACATTGTGAACAAACTACATTAATGCAAGTTGTTTTGTCACAATTATGTCTCAATTGTCTCATTATGTCTATTTTGTTGGCAATTTACTGTCACTCACAAAATCTTTACTGAAGGAAAATGAGTCACACATTACATCTTATTGAGTAACATATGAGCATAATAATAAATCATTTTATCTACGTTCTAATCTTGTGTTTTTGGCTTCCTATGAAACATGGCGCCTTGATGCGGGGATTTCTAAAGCCTTAACTCATGAAGAGGCACATAGATGAAAGTCATTTTAATCTGGAGGCGAAAACGCAGTTTGGAAGAACTCCACAGCTCACTTCAGTTCATAATCGTGTGTTAGGAAGATTTCAGGGAAGCACAAGAGTCACAGGGGATCCCCTCCTAAAGAAAACTCCAACAAGATGTGACTCCCTCCAATCGGTCTAATTGTGTGCATTATTTCATGCGTACAGGCCCCTCAGAGCTTATTCAGTCTAAAGCATATTTAAACAAGGATTTGAATCAGCATAATGAATGATGCACGCAGGGAATTCAGCTTTTCTACTGCAAATATAAGACAAAGAGAATACAGAACAGTTAATGAAAGAGTTAATCAGCTCAGAGACACCATAATCACTTTTCTTTTTCTCTCTTTAAGGGGTTTTAAAAACTAAAGACACGAAGGAACGTTTTTAGAGAGCCGAGCACCCTCCAACACACATTTCTCATGCACGGGGGTCGCAAAGTTCCTTCATGCTGCATGGAATCTTATACATGATCACGCACGACTACAAGATTAGCCGTGGAGGTAGTTTCTGCCCATATTTGGTGATTTCAAAGAAAGCCTTTCTTTGATTTGTTTTTATGAGCATTATTTTGTGTTGAATATGTCAGATTTGTTCCCTTTCTCTTTTACTGTGGGCAACGCTTGCACGTGTCATTTTATTCCTGCAAGTTCCTGCACAGTTTGATCATTTACAAAAGCGCCTCGTGATTTAGATCTTGAGAGGTGTTATATAAAATATTGTTTCTTCTTCTTATACTTCTTTTTGTTGTTTTTGCCAATGTTTGACTCTGGCAAACTATTTAAAGATTTCAGATTTAGGTTGCAGCTTTGACTCATTTAACCACATTTGCATGTGACAAATAAGAAAGTCAGACATGGGGAATTAAATGACTGCTTGACCTGGTTCATTAATAAGACACACAGACTGCAGTAAAGAAGAACTGATGAGTCAGAGTTGACGTTAGGTGACTTCACCTTTATCCAGCACCGGCCCGAAGATGGCCAGATTGTCGTTGATGGTGGTGCAGTTCCAGCGCCGACCCCTGAATTGGTGCTGGCACTCCTGGATGCCGATCTTCACCCCCTCGGCCACGCTGGGCATGATCTCCACATAGTTCCTGCAGAAGCGCAGCTGCTTGGGCACCAGGCCAGGTATGCTTCCACAAAGGATGGGCTGAGTACCCATGGATGAGTACTGGTGGCCCACTGCTAGTGACCTACAGGGAGGGAGGAAGTCAGAGTGTCAGGGCGGCTTTTCTAATGACATCTGTCTATCTTTATCTGCTGATAAAACACCTGACAGGTTCTCTCTAGGTGCAGTGTAATGTTACGTCTGACTTTATCTGATTATGTGTGTTTATTTATTCATCGTATCCGATGCTACCATTAGGAGAGCATCCTTCATCCTTTCAACTATACCCGCTCAGAAGACACCTGGCCTTTGTGCATATTGAAATTGCAGCCCTGCAACTGAGCCGTTTCTGCTTGAGATTAAAGTCCACAACGCATCCAGAGGTCTTCACAGACCTTAAGCTTACAACTTTGGAAAACTACACCTTGTTATTAACTGTCCGCACACTTAACAGCCCGTCAGCTTAGGGGTAATAAGGCTGCAAACCCTACAATGAAACTTCAGAGAGTGTATTAAGAGAAACACAGACCCCTCCCACCCTGCTTTAGTTTTTTCTCCTCTTTGAGGAAGGTGTTCTAAGAAGCAAGTGCAAACTTGGTTCACTGATTATATCTGTCTGTCTATGTGCCTTTTATTATACTCTGTCTTTATTTTCAGTGTCCATTCAATTAGAGCTCTGTGTAATAAAATGAGACATCAGCGGTACCACTGGATTTAACTTCCACGTGTTTGCTTTTGCATTTTGTAAAACACAAGACGACCTGAATAGTACAGAAATAAAAAGCACCAGTCGGAGTTGTTTTGTGTGTTTTATCCTGCAGGATGGCACTGACACACATAAGCTGAACAACGTCTTAAATCAGCCTGGATCTCTATGTAATTATTCACTTTCAGCCTAAATTCACCGTCTTAATTACATTTTTTTCTTCTGCTCTTCATAAAACATGTGCCATTTGCCATGAACGAATCTATAGCACAGCCACTCCTTTTCAAGCCTTCCAGATGACTCTTATTTTGGATTAGTGTCTGTTTAAACGTTTGAAATCAGCTCTTTTAGCAGGCGATTCATGTTTTGTTGCTCACCGAAGCTCATTTTCTGTTCAGTGTTGTTCAAGGACTAATAACTGATCACAAGATTAGCAGATTCCTGACAAGAGGCCTTCAGGCTGCGTTTTCTTCTCGAACCCCGCGACCCTAAAAAGAATCTTTTTGCCAAACAATTTGATGCTGATAACTTATTAAGATTTCACATTTGATTTATTTCCAGTCAGTCTAACTTCTACTTACATTTTTTAAATTAGTTTCCACATCTTTTTTCGTTGCATACCTTCACAGGGACAGCTGTGTGTTACATTACGTGAACCTTTTGCAACCTGGACTAACTCAAGCGAATAAATCCAATTCTTGCTGTGATTCAGATTGACTTTGTAAAAATGTCATCATTTTTGAGGTATTTGTGACATTTGACACAAAAAAGAAATAGTTAAAAGAAATGCAGCTTGTCCACTTCGCCATATTTAATGGCTAAACACAAATATGTAAAGAGAAGAAGAAGAGGATAAAACAAAGCACACATCCTCTAGTGGCCGGCTGCAGTATACGATTTAAGTCCTGTTCATGTTTTTACACAAATGGGTTATTTTTCCAGAAAAATAAATAAAATAATAATATGAAGTATGCATTTGACACAATTAACTGTATTTATATTTGATGCTAAATAATAGGGATAGTCAATATCACCTTTGTATTCCAAAACTGATGTAAACAGATACCAATTAATGCAAACCCTCCACTCATAAAAAAAAAAACTCATTTTTTAGGTCAATAACATCACATCAAATATCTTCTGTCATGCAAAGAAACTTTAAACATTATCTGTGTAAAATATGAAACTGCTTCTATTTAAATTAGGCCAGTTGTGTGATTTGTATAATGATTTGCACTGCCGGGAACAAAGGAGTGTCGGCTTTAATCATCCGTGGTTGGGACTACACCTGTGAAGGCCAGTTAGCAGGGATCGGTGCCAAGTCTCGAACCACCTCACACAAACATGAGTCATTGTGTTCTGTCACCGTCTCCGTAGAGCTGAGTAATCCACGCCATCTCTTCCTGCGTTAGGAAACAGCCTATGAGCGGAGGAAGGACATGTTCCACTGGGGATGATTTATGATTTTTTTCTTTCTTTAAGGGGGGAGCTGTTGCATAAAGAACTGTGTTGTTGGATACCAGTTCCAACAACCATTTAAAGCTAACTACTGGTATTTGTATGTGTTGTGTGGATTCTAGGTATTTATTGTGTGGTCTTGACTTTAATCCCTCTAACTCCTTTGGAAAAATCCATTTATCTTGTCGGACCAGCTGTCCGACAGCAAATCTGACTCTCAGTGATAAAGAGATGAGGTTTATTTTGTGAAAATGGGTCGACTTAAACATATAACACATGTGACATAAACTTTTTTGTTTCGGTGAAGAGTTCCCCCTCTAATCTGAGAGTAAGCTGCGCATGTTTAATGCATATTTCAGCAAGCCCAAGCAGGGTGCCTTAGAATTACCACTTTACTCGTGGGCCCTGAGGCCTTGGAGCTGACTTTGACATCAAGAGAATATGTTTGGGAAAAGGAATGTGCGGCAAGCTTTCACCCCCAGGTATTTATCTTCTAAGGTGGGGTGGACTACAGCGAAGGAGGTGGCGGGGTGGCGGGCGCAACCAGGCTATGTCATGGCAGGTCGGGAAAAGGCAGACATGAACCTGTTGTTGGAGGAGATCTGTATCCCCAAAGACTACTGTGGGTGCAAGAGGCCGATGCTTGTCTCGATGGCCACTTGAAAAGAAACGCGCAGCGGCTCCTGTCAGCAAAACGTCCCCGGCTGCTTTTCACAGTAGCGATGTCGCTCTGATATATGAGTTTGCATGCTGTTTGCAAACGGAGAGACAATGCAGGCGTATCGACGCTAATCCAGAAGGAACCATGTTGTTTGAGTTGGGATAAGTTGCCATGAAACACAAATATTCATCAGCAGTCTTTAAAGCAGAAGAAGGATCAGTGTTATGTGAGGATGGAGGAACGAAAAAGCGTTTGCATGTGCTACTTTTGCTGTCACAGGAGTGTTTTTGTTGGATAACTGCGAGACAGGCAACCTGACACTATCTTTGCTTCTGTTTGTAATACACTCCAAACTCCAACCCAGTAAAAACCCACATATTCACAATCACAAGTGGCTTCACACAAAAGGAGGGCGTTTCTATGACAAATGAAACCTGTTTGTTAATGTGCAAACACAAAAAAGTGACTTGGACTTGCCTCCAAAAACAAAAAGATCTGATTAATTTAAAAACATCCAGTATGTTCAGTCAGTCTTGTCCATCTCTTGGCCCAGTGGGCTCACTTTTATATCAGGATTTCCTTCCAGCTGAGCATGTAATTAGTTTCTCATCAGTCTTACCACCAGGGGACCCGGGGGTCCACTCAGTTTTACAGCATTTCCAAATATTAGGCGATTAATTAGAAACTGGGCATCTTTTGTTGATGTACTCCATCAAGGTGGGTGCGACTGATGGATGAAAAATTAACATTTTGGTGAAAATGCAGATTTATCAGGTGACGCTAATTTTTGTCATTTTAATGTTAATTGTATATTAATCTAATTTTTTTTTGCTGTGAAGAACTGCTGTTTTAATCTTGTGCAGACCATAAAACCTTGGAAGGTGTCTCAAATCACAAGAAAATTAGAATTTGCCTGGTCATGACTAAACTCTGGACTTATGGGTGCCACATTGACGCCCCCCTTCACCAAAATAAAAGAAAGTGACCCGTTCGCCAACGCGTGCGCGCGCACATAAATAAAGTCTGCACCTGCTGTATACTAAAAATAAAGTAGTTTCCTACAAATTGCTCAGTCTGCGCACTGCAAACGTCACTGGAATATATATTTGTTACATTTTGCGCACGTTGGTGCCTTTACGCGCATCTTTCCCCGGATCTTTTTCATCAGCAGCTTCACAATAATGATCGCAAACAACAACGACTCTCTTCGCACTTTATTGTACAACGTGTCAAAGTGATACTGATGAAATAAACTAAAATAAATAACAGAAGATGTCTGAAAGCAACGCGTCAATGTGACATCAGGACCACCAGATGCGTCTTAATCCAAACTTTTGGCGCAAGTTGTCCGAGGTGCAAAGTGGAAATCGCACTTACCACCAGATGGGATAGCTCGCCATGACGTGCGTGAGCCCACAGAGCAGCAGGAAACATCCAAGGCATATCATCCTGAAAGTTTCGCAAAACCTCTCCAGCAGAAAGCCAACATGCGCGCACATCAGCGCGCAAAGATCACAACTGAAGAGGGAAATGGAAAAAAATAAAAATAAAATAAAATATAGATGTAATCGGATTGACTTTTATTTCTATTTTCAAATAATAAAAGAAAGAAAAAATCTCTCGCGAGTTGCGGCAGAAGTCAGAAGACAAACATTAAAAGTTAAAGCTGCTTTCTTTTTTTCTTCTTCTTTCCTTTTTAGGACCCAATCAGCAGGGGGAATTCTGATGATCTGTTCCTTCTGTTGCCTTGTCAGTCAGTTCGATCTCACACACCAGAACGAGCTAATTTTAAGATGTGTTTTGGTGCTGATTGGTCGCATTAGCATGCAGTGTGTGTGATATATAATGTTGTTTAAAGGAGAGAGAGGGAGGGTCTTCGGGATTTTAAACAGACATCAGAACCCCTGTGGATTGCGTAGCTATAACAACCTGTCCGGATTTCACTCCTGGGCTTCAAGCTTCTAAAATGCAGAAATAAATATGTGTGAATTGCTTGGGACCATTATTAGGCTCCCCTGTCCTCTAATTGCGCCTGTTTGTCATGAATATAAAACGAGAAGTTTGCAATTATCTTTCTCCAGGGCTTTCCCAAAGAAACCCTTCTGTTGAATCAGGATTCAGCAGCTTTGAAAGCTGTGATTATTATAAAATAACCATATAAAGACATTTGTTTAATCTCGCGCATCCACATCTTAAATTGTTTATTCTAGAGAAATAATGCAATATAACTTGAATCTTAAAAAGGTCGATTTCTTTTTTTCAGAGGTTGATTTTATGGGAGGTGGGACGCTCTCCCGTTTATATTTTAACGCTATAAAATAATTGCAACATCTGCAACATCACATATTATGATATTTAACTGATGGAAGATTTTAAAAGTACTTGAGAAATTAGTATTTAATTTAGAAAATTGTTCATTTTGATTATGATATCTAATGGGAAATAATAGAATAAATAACAGCAATTTCTATTGTTTATGGGATTATTTTACAGCAGGATTTAGGTTAATTAATATGAGAAAATGAAATTTTTAGAGAAGGAACTTTTCTTAAACCAAGTTAGGCATTTTATTTATACGTTTATTTTTAACAAAAGCTAAATACATATTTTTTTAAAATTTAAATAGCTGCTCGTTTTTTTTCATAAATCTGAACTAATATGAACGTCTCCCATTAGTTGAATATCTGTTTTTCAGCTCTTTGGACATTTTGCATGTCCATTGTTTACATCTCAGATGCAAAAATATGTTTATATATATATATTTTTTCACTTTCTAACGCCTCATTTGCTCTACTGATTCTCCTGGTCTCTAATTTCTAGGAAGAGATAAACCTGGCCGACTCCAGTGGAAGAGGTCGAAGCTGGTCAGGCTCACAAATGTCCAGAATCCCTCCACGGGTGAAGAGCAGATGTTATAGCGCCATCTAGTGGAACATACTGAACATGAAGAAAACAGCTATTAAATATGACAGACAGGCATCTACAACTTTAACATTTTCAGATTATGGGATGTGCTCACCAGGCTTACACACACACACATATGTATATGAGGAATATTTCCTCTACATTCTCTACTACCACACACACCTTCATATTATTATTCCCCAAAAAACAAAAATAATTTTATTAAGGCTTGATTAGGATTAGGAGACAAACATTCTCTTCTAAATGGTTGAAAAGAAAATAGTGTAGTACCAGCTTCCAGATACTAGAGGGCAGCAACTACCCATCTTCTCTTCCTTTCTAATGCAATTAGAAGCCAGCCTGCTGTTCTGTTTTTTTGCCAACAGAGAGCGGAAATTCCCTATTCTTTCAAGGCAGGATGCATTGTAATAGTAGTGTAAGTCTACAGAACCAAGGACATGTCTGACATGGGAATACTGATGGCGTGTTGCTACACTCCAGTGTCTGAAAACATCGATGCATAAAGGTGCGGGCTTCAATGAGGAACAGGAGAGGGGGTAAACCGCTAGTGCATCAGAGGGACCTGACTGTGAGTAAAGTGCGGGTATTTAACGTCCTCATTAAATAAAAAGTGTACCCACCCACATTCCCCTCTTGTGAGACCTGACGCTCATGCAGGTGTCTCTGTTCCGACTCTGCAACACTCAGTATTTTTTATTTATTAGACCCACAAACACATTTTTTACTCAGTAACGGACATGATTGAAAATGTATTGGAGTACAATACTTTATACAAAACATACTCAAGTAAAAGTACAGACTTTAAAAACAACTTACAAAGCATAAATACAGTACACAGAAAAGCTACTCAGCTCCAGTAATGCGAGTAAATGTAGTTTCACGTTGAATCTGTCAATGTTTACCATCAGATGTCAATGAAGGATTTTCCTGCTCTGCAGTGTTTTGGTTAGCTATCTTGTTAGTTAAACATAGCCTTCTTCCTGCTTGGCAATTCTTAATGTTTGGGTCCATTCAGCCTGTGACTGTAAACTCTGTCTATTCCTCACACAGTAGATCACTGACAGTTTTTGTTTAAATTATTTAAAGTTTCAGCAACGGTAATCAGTGACTGTAATCACTGACTGTGCATTTTGGGTTCTACAAAAAAAAAAAAAACTAACACCAGTTAAAAGCTGCAGGAATCTCTGAAAATGAAAGTTATGTATTTCATTATTATTTATTTTACCTTTCAGTGCTCCTTCAGAGACCAAGTGAGAAAACATAAATGGATAAGGAAAAACTGATGCCTGAAAACTGAGACTTAAACATTTTCAAACCTTAGTAGCAACCACACATTTGGTGGAGACAAGTGTGCCGTTTAAAAACAACTCATAAACTAACTTTCACACCTCTCTCTCCCAGCCCATCCGTTTAGCTCACCTCCTCTGGGCAGAGGGACATCAGGGCGACTCTGTTGACTCTCGGTGACCTCACTACCATAGTGATGTCATTTTGTCAGGGTTAAGCCAGGCTCAACGACAAGTGCGTCTTGTCATTACCCTGCATCTCATGAGGCCCTTTGACAGAAAACAGCCATGATAACATCATCCGATCCAAAAGCACTGTTTTTATTGCTTCACTGAGTTGTCCAGAAAATTTTCCTGAAGGTGTCAAAGTTTGTTTGAGAAGTAAAATACATTTACAAAAAAATCAATCAATAAATAAAAATAACTTACTGAAGCCTTCAAGTGAAATGATGATGCTTGATGTAATGGTACCACTAGATGTCAGCATTGCAGAAGAAATATGGGCTGACCAATTGTCTGCTGATATTTAGTTTTCATCTAAAAACAAAGTTTGCACATTTTATCAGCACCTTTAAATAAATAAAACAAGTTTATTCTTACAGCTATTAAAGAGCAAATCACCCCCAAATCAACATTTTTTGCTGAAAAAATATAAATGAGTATCTAATCATGCTGTAGACACATGTATTCAGTTATTTGGCACTTTAATGCATCTTAATTAAAATGTTAATTTTCTGCCTAAAACTGTCAGTGTTGCACCCTCTTCAGGTAAAAACTTTTCAATGCATTTAAATGTAAATCTGCCATTGCTATTGGCTAAGAGGTACATTATAACATTAGCTGGTACCATATGATGTCACAATGCCATTGTGAGCCTGTGTGTGTGTGTGTGTGTGTGTGTGTGTGTGTGTGTGTGTGTGTGTATTTGTTAATATTTGTTAGTGTTGTTAGTTATGTTCATTTAAAAAAGTTCAATAGAAGGAAATTCAACAAAAGTCTTAAGAGAAATGCCAAAACCTGTTAGATATAAAGGAAAAACAAGTGTAATATACGTACAATGGGAGCTTACATCTAAAATTACACTGCTGAAACAGCCGTCAGACATGAGAAACAAGGATTTTATCTTCAGAATGGGAATTCCCACAAGTGCTGATGTCCCAATCTCCCAACACTGGCTTTTTGGTAATGCTGTTTGATGTCCTAACACAACTAGAACACGTCACACGTAGAAGATCTTATCTGATATTTAGAGAAAAGTCCCCAGATTTTAAAGTTAGAGATCGTGGGAACAAGCTTTTTCTCTTTTTGGTGAAAAATTGGTTGTATTTTGTTTAGTAATGGACTTCCAGGGGTGGACTGGCCTATCTGGCATTCTGGCACTCTTCCGGTGGGCCGCTTAGCCAAGTGGGCTGCTTGCCCAGCTTGGACACCACTCCACAGTTGGTGATCTGCAGAACATTAGCTACATGGTAACCCGAAGCTAACAGAGTTTTTCCAGGCGTTTTTAGCAAGAAAAACATGGAAGAGCGATGACGTAGGAGTTGTTTAACTGCGTTAGCGTGTAGCTAATGTCCTGCTGATCTCCGCCCGTGGAGAATGAGCTCATCTGGAAGGCCAGGGCTTCCAGTCGCAGCAGTCTGGCCCTGCTTGTAATTTAACAGTCCCAGTCCATATTAGATCTCACATTCGGCCCAGAGACGAGTCTACGGGTAGCAAAACCCCCCACCCCCACCGCTCTCCCACTGGGGAGGGCCGACGATTTGTAAAAATGCCAGGGCCGAGTTTTGGTCCCAGTCCACCCCTGCTGACTTCTGTGTCAAAACAGCTTATCTCAGGGATCATGTCCATTTGCTTGTTTATTAACTATTTGACTTTTACATCTCTAAAGGAGATTTTTTTTTTGTGCTCTTAAGAATGAAGCGCTTTAACCCTCCCACTGTCTTTATGGGTGACCCCGCGAGGAAAGTTGACCATTGAGCAGGATTGATGGTTTATCCCTTGAGGTCCACGTGGCAGGGGTGAGGTGGTGCTCACTCCTCACCCCTGCCACATGGACCCAAAGGATAAACCATCATCTGCTCAATGGCCAACTTTCCTCGCGGGGTCACGCCCATTAGGGCAGTGGGAGGGTTAAATAACTTTTTAGCAAATTGATATCTTTGCTCACTCTTATTCTTTAGGTTTACTAACACTTTTCTCTGCATCACAACTGAAATAACTCACCATACCACACAGCTTTTCTTTATAATGACCAGTTTATTCAAGCAGTGGTTTACTAGAGGGCCCGTTCTTTGGTGCCCAGCTTTTGCTTCTAATATATAAAACAGATGCAAGATCCAGAATCACTGAAACTGAAATATGATTTAGATTTGAACTTTTATTTGAAGAAATCACAACAAGCAAAACAACGTCTATTTGCATTTAGCCTTTAAAATTTTATTATGACCACAACCGAGGTCATGATCAGTGAACTGAAGGAGATTTTGGTCATTAAATTTGTTCTTGAAGGAACTCAGACAGCAGATTTAATCACAGAAGCAAACCCGGGGGTTTCATCAGACAGCGGAGTCCTCTTGCACATTTTCTTGACTCAGTCCAGGTTACAATCAGAGGGAGGTTGTGGTGGCTGCAGCTGCTCTGCTGGACTCTGTCTTGTTTCATTAATGCTAGGTAAAGCAGATCGGACCATTCCATCAACAACACCTGCTGGTCGAGACCGTGACCCATTCACCATGCATCTACCTGAGGTTTCCTGGCACCGCCGGCTGACATGTCACTGTTTTTGCTGTTGAGACTGTGTTGTGTCATCGTGGAT